AAAAAATATTGTGAATATTGCATCGGTAGTCCCCGAACTATTGTTTATTTAGTAATTGATCCTCAACTTTTTTTATATAGTGCACTACTTAATATAGTATTCGATGGCAGGAATGGATCAAATATCAATTAAATTGTCACTTGGGCAAATATCAATTTCATAAAGTTTGTATGTGAAGATAATTAATTATTTAATGAAGATACGAAAGGTCTTCGTCATTGGAAAATATCTGTGCAAGTAACGTAAAAGGTTGAAAGCCAACTTGCCACTTGAACAATAAGTTGGATATACTGCCAGTGCAATTTTTTCTAAGAGCCCGTTTGGTAGAGATTAAAATCGAATTAAAATTGAAAAACTAGCCGTTATTGTTGACTTTTATTAGACGAGTGGGGCCCAATAACGGCTATATTTTCAATTTTAATTTGATTTTAATCGATACCAAACAGGCTCATAAAGTATATAGTTCCATGAAATTTGCAAAGGNTTAATCGATACCAAACAGGCTCTAAATTATTTTATCATAGCTTTATAGTCCTCTTTCTAGTCTTCTCAACACCCCCAATACCCCATATGTCTACTTTCAAATGGCATGATTAGGGCAGCTTAATTACTCGATATAACATGCTAATTGAAGGGTAAATATGTCTTTTCAATTGACCCACGACGACATTTGTGGAGTCTAAATTAATTTTACTGTAGTATTTTTATATATCACACTTCTAAGGTTGATGGGACCTCATCGGAGGAGGTCTAAGGTCATTATAGCCAATTGATTGTTGCAAGGGCCCAAAGCCAATAACAGACAATCAAACATTGTGGTTTGTCTTTTTTCGCTTTTCTTTTCTTTTACACTAAAAAAGAATTTAGCTCCGGTTTGACTTTCTTTATTACAAAATACTTTATTTTTCATATTTATTTTCAATTATAACGCGATAAAATATTTCGCACGTAAATTTAATTTTTTTTTTATTTTTCAATCGTATATTCTCTAAAAATTATTATTTAAAATATTTTTTTTTCCAATTTATCTTTATAATGACCATCAAATAGGCGTTCAACTGGTGACGCCAGTTATTTTGTTTTTTCTTGATTACGCTTTAAAGTTGAATCATTGGCAGTCTCGAGACGCCATAAAGATGGAGACCGATCCAGGACCAAACGTGTGGCATGAGTTGCACCATTCATATCTTCCAGGATTGATTTTGGAAATTTTAATCAGGTGTGTACTATATTGGTGGAATAGATGCCAAAATCTAGCACGAATGACAATTGTGCTACAAGTATAGAAGATTTTGACAGGCAAACACACGACAAAGATTCATTGGAGGATGGAAAAAAAAATATAAAATAGACAAATCAGATGTTGCCACGACAACATCTATATAAATTCTATAAAAAAAATCTCCATACTTGGGACAATAATACCCTTGTTTGATAAAAATTAAAATCTAGATTTTAATTTAAATTAAAATCAATAATTAATTTAAATCACATTTCGTACGTAGATCCTCAACATTTTTAATAAAATGCACTACTTAATATAGTATTCGATGGCAGGAATGGATCAAATATTAACTAAATCGTCACTTGGGCAAATATCAATTTCATAAAGTTTGCATGTGAAGATAATTAATTATTTAATGAAGATACGAAAGGTCTCCGTCAGTGGAAAATATCCGTGCAAGTAATGTAAAAGGTTGAAAGCCAACTTGCCACTTGAACAATAAGTTGGATACCGCCAGTGCAATTTTTTCTAAATTATTTTATCATATAGTCCTCTTTCTAGTCTTCTCTACACCCCAATACCCCCTACGTTTACTTTCAAATGGCATGATTAGGGACAGCTTAATTACTCGATAACATGCTAATCGAAGGGTAAATATGTCTTTTCAATTGACCCACGACAATATTTGTGGGAGTCTAAATCACCATCCATTTTTTAAAGGTATCATTAAGAAAACTACAATTTGCACTAATGATTTTTTGTTTTAAGTGCCCACTTGCAATATTGAACACAAAAAAAACATATTGAGTATGCATGCACATCTAAATCTTGAAAATATCTTCATATTTATGGAACTATAAAAAGTATTTTATTTATTTTTACGTTCCTTTCATGACCAGTTGAGGTTCAATCAGATAAATTAAATTAGATTGAACGGAAAATATTCGATTGTTTAGAGAACTTGTTGATTCGCTAAAATTCGTTCTTGTTAGGTTCTCTTTAATTTTTGGTTTTTTTTATAACTTCAATGAGCCAGATTTGGCGTAAGAATCAGATTGAAATACTTAGTTCGACATATCCAAATCTCATTAAAATGACCTCTGATTCAATTGGTCTCTATTTAAATAGGAAGAAAATTTTGTTTTAATATTTGTGATACAATCGATAGAGTCGATTATTGAAGTCGATTGGATAGAAGCAAACTTCAGATATTATTTTTTTACAATAATCGAATGGAACCAATCGGCCGTTTGTAAACATTTCATCCTCCACTAATAGAGGTTTGATTTTTTTACAAGTTTTTTTTATTGGTTGGTTGTGAAAAATGACGATCTTATTTTTCTATTTCCACAAACTTTCCAGTTCTGGTAGCCTAGTAGAGTTACATTTTAGTGTGGCACGGTATATACACCATCATGCTACTAATCGTAGCCCTTCATCACCTGTATTTCTCCTAATCATGACCGTTGGTGCCCAATTAGTCAATGCTCATGATCTATTTTAGGTATCCGATCACATCACATCACATCACATCACATCGACTGCTCATACTTGGAGCTTGTTTGGTAGAGATTAAAATCAGATTAAAATTGAAAAACTAGCCATTATTGTTGACTTTTATTAGACGAGTGGGACCCAATAACGACTATATTTTCAATTTTAATTGGATTTTAATTCCTCCCAAATAAGCTCTAAATAAATTATTAATTTGTGATATATAACATAT